AAACGGTCAAACTAGTTTGAACGAACCTCGCCAACGTTGGACCAGTGTCCGATTGCTTGCGCTGGGCCCGACTCATTTCGCTCTGAAATTTGACCTGGTTCCTTGCCCCTGAATTGAGTCCATGTGTGCGACCTAGGCGCCTACAAGTCCAGCAACCCGTGGCGTGTCTCGCGAACGTAACGTGTCCGTGTGTGCGTGAAGATATGTAAGTGTGCGAGGGGCTCGCGCGGCCAGGGACCCATTCACCCACTTGGGGAGGAAATTCGAAACAAGGAGTACAAGAGGAAATGATGCGCGGCCGAGGGGNGGTGCGGGGTGATGGAGTGCGGGAGGGGGCGGGGGCGGGGGTAATAATATTAAAAGAAGTTTGGGGAACGACGCGGCGCGGTTCCAGATCCTCGTGTCGAAGAGATGATTGCGGGGAGGAGGGGGCGGGAGGGGGCGGGAGGGGGAGCGGGAAACTGTGCAAGCTTGCAGGCATAAAAGTGTCGCGTTTGGACGCCCCGAGTATCCCTCCCGCGTTGCCGCCAGGCTCAAGCTCAACTTTCTTTCCAAGTTCCGGCATCTTTCAAGAGGTCAACAGCGGAGGTGGAAAGAGAAATTTGACGTTTTGAAATTTCAAGAAATTTCAAAAGGCTTGAATGAATTTCACGGAATCTGAAATTTCTTCTTTTTTTGGAACTATTAATTGAATCGCATTTAGCAAAAAGGAACCACCGCAATTACAGTGTTGTTAAAGTGTTGCCTCTTCATTATTATCTAAAACATATCCCAAAATAGCAAATAGTTTTTGCATCTCATCAAAAAATTGTTAATTTTGAAAAGAGGTAATTGTGTTAATTTTAATACTGTACATATATTTAGCATTTTCAAAAGAAAAAAATAGAATTTGCACGATTTTGAAAACACTGTAATCACGCTGATTCCTTTTTACTAAATGCGATCCAATTGAACAGTATTCTGCCTTCCCTGGGTGCCGTGCGCCAAATTCGCCCAAAAATCGGGCCTTGGCGCCTAAAAATTGGAGGGTCCGGGCCATCGCGACGCCAAAAAAATTTGACAGATTGAATTCGCAATCGGTAAGCAGCGTTAGCAATGAAACACTCTCTATACGTACCGTTCGCAGCATTGCCATGGCCCGTATGCAAAAATTTAATTTGGCTCCTAAAAATTGGGCTTTCCGGCCAAAATGGCTCCTAAAATGTTAGGGGGAAGGCAGAACACCGTAATTTAACCTTCAGAGATGGGAAAGCTTTTCAATCAAGCTCAAAACTGATCCAAACTCATTTTTTCAAAAATATGACTTTTCATTCGTGTTTATGTCAGTCCTATTAGAAGAAACCGACCATTAGCATTGAATTTTCCTAAAATTTAGCAACTTGTATATTTACGATAAATTATTTTGGAGCAATTGATGGAAGAAATCTGCAGGATATACTCATTTAATGAACATTTTTTATGCAAAGATGAAGATCGTTTAAATTTTCAGAGTTTTCTCACCGTAAGATTCATATAAGTTGTATAGTATTAGCAAAATGCTAATTCAGAGAGTTCTTTTCCGCAAAACGCAGTCCAGTTTGTTAATTAGATCTCATTCGTACCCAGTTCAACAAAAAAGAAAAAAATCCCACATTAAGATGAAAAAGCTGTTAAAATACATGGAACTATCAGTGCGGCACGAACTTACAAGTTCCGATCTTAGTAAAATAACTCAGTAGCTCCGAGTAAATATGTATTCATACCCAGTCCGCGTTTCGCGAAATCCACCTCAGAAACTTGAGGAGGACGAGTAAGACACGGCAACAGTTGATCCGCAGCGCCAACTAGAATTAGGGGTGGAGTGACGGCCGGAGGGAAGGGTGAGGGGGTTAAGGGGATCGGCTGGGGTTAAATGGGCCAGCAAATTCAGTTGGCACGTGGACACACAGAGCACATCATAGCCCTGCACTCGGTTTTGTTTTTCCCGGGATGTGATCCGCCCCCGCCCGGCTAGTTAACCCCTTCCTCATTTGGGCTTTGGACGAGACCCCTAATTGCGAATCTTAAGCTCGGCCGGGGGCAGGGGGTGGGTTCGCTAAATCCACGCGCTGCGCGATATCTCGATGCGTGGAATTATCATTGCTGTATTTGGCCCACTTTACCACGGAACAGCTAGTTTGAGGGGCTCGTAGACGAGGCGCATTCGTGAAGTTTTTTAAAACAAATTTACACATTAAGGATTTCAGCTAGACCAAGTTTCAATGTATATTCTGTAGAAAATTCACAACTGAAATCTAGTTCACAGAAAAAAAAACACATTGGATCTAGAGTCCAGACTTTTAAAAACATTGACAGGAAAAAATACTCTTGATTCAGTCGGATTTTTGCTTAAATCAAGAACCAAGCCTCTTAATTTGAGCGGATTTCCTTTTGCTTTAAGTAAAAATCTGATTGAATCAAGAGTATTTTTTCTTGTCAATGTTTTCAAGAGTCTGGGCTCTATATCCAATGTGTTTTTTTTTCCAGTGTTGTTTAGCTTCAAAAAATGAGTTTGAACTATCTCTTCACCGTAGGGGTTTATATTATTTTGAAACTTTATGCACGTAATTCTTCAAATTTAAAACATTGAACTTATGTGCCTTATTGCTCGCCAAGCCTCTCATTTCTGCAGTGTTGTAATAAGTAACTCGCAGAATGATCCCACGCAGTGTTCAAAATCTCAGAATCCAACTTTAACTCGGAGTACAACTCTTTTAACGGAGTTGACGTAGCTATTACGGAATGAATTTCGCTCCTTATTCGTGTTTTTCGAGATTTTTGGGACACAAATGGGAGACTTAGCGGAGTTTACTGCGCAGAAAGAATAGATTTTGCTCTGATTTTTTGTGCAGTAATGTAGGCTCCAAAGTTAAATACAAACTGGGTTTTATCTCAAGAGGATTTTAACGGAGCACTGGATCATTTTTTTACAGTTACTTTGGTACAACAATACAGAGATTCTATATTTTGCGATGAGCTGGTTTAATGCACTCCAGATAGCACTTCAAGATTTCTCTCTGTGAAGACACCCAAGCATCTTATCGCGCATGATGCATACTTACCTAAAATAATTATTTTTGTTCATGTTCCCGAAGAAAGAAGTCTGTTCTAAAGAGTTCTAAAGGCAAACTTCACCTTAATTTATCTCGAAATTCAAGAATAAGAGACATCTAAAGTGTAAATGCGATACAACTATTCGCGCAAGATGGATGTCCACATTGCATATGAAAAATGTAAGACGCGATGGCGTGAGTCGTGAACTAGCAATGCGCTACTAGTTTGAAGCACCATTAAAAATAAGACAAACGCAAACAAACACAATATAGAAAAAGGGCGAGGGAGAGGATGAGCGTTAACGACGGCGCAGAGATACAACTATTCGTACTTGATAGACGCCCGTGCTGCATCTGAAAAATTGAAGGCGCGATGAGGCGATGCGTGAACTCTCAACGCTCTGCTAAATGCTGTCAATGAGGTGTCACTCAGATTCGGGAAAAAAGTTGAAAAAGAGGCCCCAATACATCTCTACTACTTTCGACTGTGTTACTCACATAGTGCTTGAAGCACAATTAGGAATAAGACAAACGTAAACAAACTCAAAATGGAAACAGAGGGAGGGAAAGAATTCGCGTTTACGACGGCGCAGAGATACAACTATTCGTACTTGATGGACGTCCGTGCTGCATCTGAAAAATTGAAGGCGCTATGAGGCGATGCGTGAACTCTGAACGCTCTGCTATATGCTAGAGAAAATGGAGCAATGATATTGGTGGAATCCAGTGGTTGCAATGGATGAAGGAGGCAAGTAATAGACTAATTAACCGGGACCCTGGGACCCACGAGAGACTCTATAGTTAGTCCTTCATTTTCCCCCTTGGTCTATAATAACCACCCGGTCAATCCAATAGTATACTGCCGTGATAAGGAAGAACGCCTCGTGAACTTTCGAGAGTTGCCAAATTTCCTTCGATAAAATTTTTATTTTCGCGGAAGGCTATGAATATTTTTCCTTGACATTTTCAGGAACTTCAGGTGAAATTGAGAACAAAATCATCAGAAAAATTGGAAGGAAAATGTTCATAAGTTTACCAGGAAATTCGTGTTTTATCAGAGGAAATTTGGCAACGCCTGAAGGCCCATACAGAGTTGTTCCTTAGCACGGCAGTATAGCTCTATTTTTCCTCAGCCTTCTTTGTATATAACTACATTTTAATGCCAAATTTGACTGGTTAAGCTATTAAAGACATGATAAATGATACATAGCAATATGTACATGATATACGAGCTAAAAGCTAAAAGCCCCCCCCCCAAAATTGTAAGTTGTATTTTCATCTTTTGCTTGTTGTGTTAACATCATGTAGGTAGTTGAATACACTGAATTATTTTTTGGCTTTTAGCTCGTTTGATAACTCATTTACCATGTCTTTGTATATCGACGGTGAAACTACCAAACCACGTATCTCGTTTGCGGTGTTTAAAAATCTACGCTCGCATTTTATTTTTTTGAAGTAGACCAAATCAATATCATTCCTTGAAATTTTCACAGAATTTTCTCCGCACAAAGAGGAAAAATCACAGAAATTTTCAAGACTGGACGTTGAGTAGTTTTTCATTTAAAAAATAAAGTATGACAGGAAGTCTGCGACGTTGCAAACCGAAATACGTGGTTTGTTAGTTTCACCGTCGATATAGCTTTGTCTGTCGCTTTCAATAATGAGCCGCCAGTGTAATGAGATGAAGATATGCTCCCGGTCTGGGTGCTGTGCTCCAGTGGCGTGGCGTGAATGATCGATTATCGATATTTCCCCATTTGAATTCGTGGTATAGAATCGATTATTAAGATGTTCGTGGCAAACACCCTGTAAATCGATCATTTTCCATAGGTTTAGATGATAAATCAATCGAGAAATCGCAAAGCACGCCACGCCACTGCTGTGCTCCGATGGGATGTGTTGGGCGAGGAGGGCGTTAGAGCTGCTTACCTTGTCGGCCTGGTGGGGCTCAGATTGAGCTGTCTGATATGTCGGCACGGGGGTAGGGAGGTCTGGACGGCGACGCAGGAGGAAGGGGTGGATGTGACGACGAGGCTCCGCAGCTCCAGGACCTTGGTCACCGTCCGCCGCGGGGAGAACCACCCCCTCGCGCCCTGCTGCGCCCCTACTCCCACCACCACCAGAGTGGCCAGGAGTGACGTCATCAACCGCATACTCATCCCTCACTCGAATACCTGTAATCACATATTTTAGTTCAGATCACTGCCCCACAGCCAAAAGTTACCTGTCTCACATTAAGGTCATTCGAAGAGTTCTCTGACGTGGTCGAACTGGCATGCGATATATCGCATCGATTACGTCAAAAATCTCGGCAGATTTTGAATTTTTAGTCAAAAAAAGACGCTAGCCCTTGCGCATGAGCTTAAAGAATTGAGGCTCTGAACCAAAAAATTTGCCTAATGTGGGGAATCCAAATAAAATCCTGTTTTGACTAAAAATCCACAGCTCCTTTTTTTTACGAAAAATTCACAATCCGCCGAGATTTTTGACTTTTTTATTCTATTTATATCTTCATAAAATTTTAAGTCAAGTAAAATAGTAATTTTTAAAATTATAATTGAATTTACAATTTAACCCTTTTATCGATGTGATATATCGCATGCCAGTTCGACCACGTCACTTGAGCTGGACGAATCACCTTAATGGAAAATTCGAGTTGGTGACTTTTTTGAAATATCCACTAACGGTTCGGTGTACAATTTAGTAGCCTTATTTTACGTTGGTTATGCGATTTGGACTTTCAATAATTGCAATTTACATGGCCATTTCCTCCACTCTCTGGAATCAATGGGTCTGAAGTGCGCTTTTCTCCTGATAACTCAAAATGACTGGAGGAGAATTCTTACCTTTTGACTCTGGTTACTAATAAAGTCATACGTGGACAGCTGTTTCAAGAATTTTTCATTTTTTAGAGTTTTTTCCATTCGTAATTACCCCCAACAAAAGGACGTAGCTACATACCGAGGTTGCAAAATTTACTTTTTTTATTTACAGGAAGAACCGCGCGAGTCTGGGAAATTGGTGAAAGTAATAATGAAATTGCCAGTTTTTCCGAGAGAAAATACTGAATACATCGTAAATTATACAACAAAGAGACGGAGATACGTTCTTTTGTTCGAGAAACACCAATTTGTTGAATAATTAAACTATCTCAATACTTTTTCGATTTCTGTTGATAATCGTCTATTTTTTTTCATCTTTCCAAGAATTCTTTTTGCCAAGAATTTTGAAAGTATTCTCCCGATTCTCAGACAAGCCTTATAGTTAATAGGTACTGTCCAATGCAATAAGAAAAAATTGATAGCAGATCTCAAAACAACTTGCAGGATTTTGGTGTAAAATCTCTTATTTACGCAATAATTTAGAGCTTTGTTTTATACTAATAGAAGATATAAAAAATATCACACTCTTTTTCTTAGAAAAATCGGTCCTCTTAGTCAACCTCACACGAACTTAAATAAATGATAGGTTGATCTCGTAATTTTCCCTTATGCGATCCTTTATGTGTGAAAAAAGGAGTCAGATAATTTGTTCAGCTGCCGAATTATAACATGAAGGAGAATATCGTTGAAAAAGAGGAGCCAGGGTCTCGCTCTAACAATTTTAAAATGCACCACAGGATACTTGAGAGGGATAATGTATCTGCTACCTATAATAACATAACGATGTATCTCGTGCTTGATTCTATGATTGGATCTTGATTTTACGCATTTAATTTTTAAAATGCACAGGTTACGTACCGTAAATCGAAGTAGAAAAGTGTGAAATGTCCAATGAAAACAATAGCACAGAACACTTAGAAAATGAAAGCACCACCAGTTATCACTGAGCTGAGCGCCTGAAGACAGAGGGACATGGTGAATGCAGAGCGCCGGGAAGGACTCGACCCACCCCAATTAAAACTCATGTTTTTTACCTTTTTTGTCTCCAAATCGAAAGGTACCTGCCCCTATTAAAACAATCCGGACCAGTTCTGCCCCTCATCGGCTTGGCTCCAGGGGAACAAGTGAAATCGTGTCAAAGTCAAAATCTCTTGAGCCTCAGATTATGTTGCTAGTTCGTGTGTTACGGAGCTCAGGAGATTTTAGTAAATACGTTTTTGGTTGTATGAAGCCTTCAAAAGTGTCTCTTGTGGCCCTCTCCCTCCATCCCTTGATCCATTCATTCGAAAATACCTCGGATTACTTAGTTGCATTGTTGCCATCACAATTGGGAAAGAAACTGCATTCAACAAAGTAAAGCCGAGATTTTTTTTTCTTCTTCTTAATGAGAATTCACTTGTTACTTTCGCATCCTGGTATTCTCTTGTAGGCAAAAGCAATAGTACGCACACTAACCTAGTATGCTCGCGAGAGCTGGTATCATGTAAAAGGTTAAACAATTTTTTACGTAAAAGGGTGGTTTCACGATAACTAGAATAGTTTTGTCGCCATAACAGACAACATATTTTTCAGTCATATTTTTAGTAGTTATGATAATCACTCGAATTTATTTGCATTAATCTACACAGGGTTACGTGTTATGACACTTTTTAAAGATTTGTCGCTTTACTTTGCAATTTTAATATAGAAATGACCGAAAATGTGCTGTCTGTTACGCTGAATTTATTACCACGTAACAGACATCGAGCCTCGTTTCTTGTCTTTTCTCACGACACCTCATTGGGAAATAAAGCGGAGCTGCGGGGCATGGCGAATTTACAGATCGCGCCATCGCTCCTTCAATTTTGCAGATGCAACACAGACATCCATCAAGCACGAATATTTGTATCTCTGCGCCGTCTATCCACGTAACCGAATTCACATAATATTAATTGAGAAGTACGTAGAGCAATAAATCATTAGAAAGTGTTATAATTCATAACCCTATGTAGATTAATGCGAAAAAATTCAAGTGCTCAATATTTTCAAGAGAAGAATGTGAAAAATTGGGAAATACTGGTTTAATCAAGCTATAATGAATGATAATTATTTCACTGGCTGGCTGACATTAGATTAAGTAGAGTGCAAACTTATACGCTATTACGCTTCACGCTTTTATAGCTTTTAGCGAAAAATTGGTCACTCTCCGTCGTAAAATTAGCTGTGCGAGGCATTGAAAATGTATTTTTTAACTTCTCGATTATAGTTTTCGAAAAGGGGATGATGAGCGTCATTAAGTCAGGAAATCAAAATAGCTCTCGAACTTTTCTCAAGTGTCAAAATATCTATACATACAAATTATGACATTGGTAAAAAATTATTTTCTTTGAAAATGTCACCTTTTTAGTAACATTGAGACGCTTTAGGTATCACCCTCCTTCCTCATCCGCCATGTGTCACTCTCTCAGAAGAGGTAGTACAGTCAATTTTTAGACGTGCACCCTTTTGATCGCTTGAGAGACCGCAAACTTTTTTTTCTTTTCAAAATGCTAATTGATTAAGGCGCATCCTCTTTTCGGCTGTGCTGCTCATGTAGCCTTTGAAGCACCACCACAAATGAGACAAACGAAACTAACACAATATGGAAGTAGATCAAATGGATAGACGGCGCAGAGATACAACTATGCGTGCTTGATGGATGTCTGTGTTGCATCTGCAAAATTGAAGTCGCGATGGCGCGATCTATAAATTCGCCATGTCCCGCAGCTCCGCTTTATTTGACAGTGAGGTGTCGTGAGAAAAGTCAAGAAACGAGGCTCAATTATTACGGCTGTGTTGCTCTCACAGCCTTTAATGCTCCGCTGGAAATAGAAATAAGACAAACTGAAACAAACACAGTATGGAAATAGAACAACGTAAAAGAGGGCGCATTGATGACGGCGCAGAGATACAACTATACGTACATGATGGATGTTCGTGTTGCATCTGCAAAATTGAAGGCGTGATGGCGCTATGCGTGAACTCGCAATGCTCCTTTCTATGCTGCCAGTGAGGTGTCGCTCAGATTCGAGAGAAAAATTTAAAATGCCTGATTACGTCTCGACTCTGTTGTTCCTCAATTTTTTCTTCTTTTTTTTTCCATTTGAGGTTTGATTCTTTTTTTATGCACAAATATTTACAGACCTACATCTACGGCTCGTACGTACCGCGGTCCCTCACAACTCAAGTGCCTAGATTTTTAAACAAGTCATTAAAATATGACTGCACCTTGTTCGCTAAAACTTCTGGATTCAAGAGAGGATTAATAGTTATTTCCAAATTACATTTTATTAGTAGTCTAATCATTATCGATACATCTCTATTATAGTAACTATCTCAATACCTGCTAGTTTTTGTCAAGCTAATAAATTTAGAAAATAATAACTTATTATATTTTAAAATTTTATTCATTACAGAAATAGTTCTTGGACCATCCATTTTAATCAGCATTATTCGAACTCATGGAAATGATTTTATAAAGTCATCAGTTGTATTGAAATTATACAAATTTTAATGGTAATAATTATAATTACATACATATAAGTCGCTTTACAGCACTCCCTCCATTATAATTATAATTTTATTGGAAACATCCAAGAAATCAGATTTTAACTATTCAATTACTGTATTAGTATTTAACTTAAATTTACCGGTAACGTCCCAAAATACTGCCATTGCCCAAAATGATTGTTAAATGGGATCTCCTGTAGCCTGATTTAGATCTGTGGGACAATTAATATACATGTATTCCAATCTATTTATTTTTACTGAGCTTAGTGAATCATGTAGTTAGTCGGGAACTTCAGAAAGTGTGCATTATAGTGGTTACTAAGATACAAGAATTGAAAAATGACAGAGGTCGCAGATCAATATCGAGAGAGCAATTAATTATTTTAACGCAACGGTTTTGCCTATCCGTTTCATTGAAGGCTGAACGCACTCAATCGATCACTTGGAAATGCAGTAGGTATAGGTAATGTAGGATAGGGCAATTCAAGGCAGAGGGCAGTATTTAAGGTGCAATGAGCTTCACTACATTTTTATGGTAAGCAGAGTAGCCCTCGTTTTAAATAAGATTACTTTTCATTTCAATAGCAATGAAGGTGTAAATGCTATTGCATAACCAATAAGATGAAAACTGAAAATGGTAAACTCACCTGAACCAAGGTCTTCCATGGACGATAAAACTGGGGAAATAGTCTTTAAAGTATATTTTGCAAAAGATTTAAACGTAGGGCATGGGTAAAATACTAAAAACACTCCGTCGAGGAAAGTTGCGGGACTCCGTCATCTCTAAAGGTGGGCTTGGGGCATTTCTTTGACCTCAAAAGAGGGATCCGGGGGCCTCTCCCGGAAAAAGTTGAATAATTGAGTATTCTCAAGAACAATTTTGAGCTGTTCTTCAACAAATTGATCAGATCTCCACTCTAGCCCCGTCTTGTCTTTCATATCGTCAACCTATGCAAACGACGCGAGGCATCGGGGAGGAAGGCGGGGCGACGACCCCCCCCCCCCCCATGGTGTGTGGTTATGTTGTTTTCCTTGAAATTAGATGAATTAGACTGAAAGCACTAAAAGCATATAAAGGTACGGCAAATATTAAACGATGGCTGTATATGAAGCGAAGGGAAATCAACAGTGACTTTAACGCTAAGATAGAAAAATAGGCTTTTTGAATGAGCAGCGGCCGGACGCCTAGCGTCGTTTGCAGGTTGATGATGATGAAAGATTGGGACTGAAGGAAATCTGAGACTCCATTAAACAAATTCGAAAACAGTAGGATTCAAAATTCGGATCCCTCCAATTTCAGAATATAACAAATTCAAATAGAGATTTTGGTATATCGACGGTGTATGTCGGCAATCACATAACTCGGTTTGAGACGTCGCAGACTTTCTGTCATACTTTATTTTTAAACAGGAAACTAGGTACTCAACGGCAATTCATTAAAACTGCCGTGATTTTTCTTCTTTTAGCGAGGAAAATTTAGCATAAACTTCAAGGAATGATGTCAATTTGTTCTCCTTTAAAAATATAACATGGAGGCAGAGATTTTCAGACACCGCAAACGAGTTATGTGATTGCCGACTTACACCGTCGATATGTACGCGTCTCATTGCTAATGCATGTTTTTCAAATTTGGATTATGAGTCACTCTTTGAGAAATTGGACGTATTTATACCAAACGGAACTGTGAAGACATGAGCCCTGAGACCCATCATGATATAATTATACATAACAGGGCTCACGTCATAAGGCACATACTTCCGTTCGGCAGAAATACGTCCAAATCTGTTTAGCCTTGAGCATTCTGACACTCCTAATACACACATTTCTTAGATCATCTTGGGGACGTCCTCTTGATATTTTTTTTGTCGGATTTCTTCTTGTGACGACCGGAGTTTTCGCTTTCTCCCAATCGGATTCTCGTTACCGCGACCTTAGTTATCTTGGTTCAATTCAAATCTGATCAGTCAGCCAACGAAAAGTTAGACACATTCATGTACCATCTTTGCGACTATTTTGTCTCGGAAAGTGCCATGTTTCCACCTGACATGTGGCTCCCAAAACTGAAACCCCCCGTCCCCAAAAACGCGCATGCCTGTGAAAGCTTTCACTCGCGTTAATCCTCATGCTTTTACAAGCACCGCCCAAACTTCCCTTTATTAATCCGCTTCTTGAGGAAGCTTTTTCGTGATTCCCAAATCTTGATTTATTCTCCCATTTTTTACATTCCTGGTCACGATTGCTGCGACGTTGCCAAGTTTTCTCTCTTTCTCACAGCCGAGAGGGAATTGGGCGGTGGCGAGACCGGTAAATCGGACTCGACAGACCTTCTCTGAGGGACTAGCTTGGTTTCAGCTTAACTGGAGAACTTTCAACTTTAGTTCATTCAGTTTAGTCTAGAGTTAAGTCCTTCGATACCACTGTTGACTTTTCTCGATCTTTGCATGGGGGAAAAAGTCGAGATTAGTGTCAAATCTTGCGTAGTTTGAGGTGAAGAATCGATTGCATTTGTTTCCGAGAATCGTCGGAACTTCCTTAACCGAGAAACAAGTTAGGGTTTTACACTCTTGCTCGCCAGTTTTGAGCTGATTTCATAATGGAATAGTTGAAATATTCATTAATTTCAATAATTCCATGGACGCACCACGAATAATACATCTCCTTCACCCCTAAATTCTCTGATGTGTGCCGGAAAACTCTAAAATATTCCAGTTAATGCAGGATTTGTCCCTCTTTTACTTTTCCTTTACCTATATTTACTCCGCATTTTAATCCAGACTTAATAAGATGGCAGTTTGTGAGTCTTTATTCTTTTAAAGCTGAACATTCTAGATGCTGCCATAGGTGCTGTTCAAAAGCAACTGAAAAGGCAGAGAAAGAAATGGATTTTCATTGAATTTGCTATACACAAATCATTAGAATTTTTCAAAAAAATTGGCAAATCCTGCATTTTTTCTTCTGTGCGAGAGGAGTACGCTGCAAAAACTTCAAGCTATGACATACGCTGGTTGTGCTAAAATGAAAAACGAATTAGACAGGTGCGGAAATCACTGCAGTTATGGTAAATTTTTTTTCTAGTCCCACCAATAGCAACAATGAACTCCGGACTGACTTCGTGGTTTTAAACAGTCAGTAGTCTTCGAAAGGTTTGTTCTTGAGAGTTTGTTGTTCTTGACAAAAAAGAATCATCATTAGATACACACAATGATTGAAGAAATAAATATATTTTCGGAATGAACTTTTTCTCAGAGTAAAACTTTCATTAAGTTTGCACAAAGATGTTAAAATTAAGTAAAGGGAGCAACAATGCGTAACATTCATTACAGAACAAACGGTAAAAATTATTTTTGAGAAAAAAAAACAATCAGTAATGAACAATTAAAAAAAACTACAATTTTAACATAACAATAAAATTTTTGTATAACTATAGACTATTACTGCTAGACCGGTTTTCAGGCTATTGAAAAATTCACAGGAACAAAATATTTCTGGCTGTAATTTTAAGTAAACACTTCCCGCAACGACTGACGCACAACTCTGGGGAGGAATATCTGATGTCCTTAACGTATCATTTAAAAACTGATGAATGAGAATTGAAATATGAAAAGAAGGGCTCTTATGTAGTCTGTGAGTAAAAAAGCACCACTTTTTCAAAGATTATGACAAAGTAATTGGCAGTAAACCTCAACTTGTAAAAAATTGATAAAAATGCTTTAAAATATATTTGAAATTTCAAGGTCAATAATAATTCAAAAATATTTCATAATTTTAATTAGGCCTGCTTGACATGAATAGGAGACTATTCTGCTTGCATTTTCAGTGTTGAAGTGATTAAAAATCTTGGAGGTCTATGATTTTCATAAGCCGAGACAGAAAGAATCAAAGACAAGAAAAAGGTAGGACAGGAGCCGAAGTGATGCGAATACTGCCTGCTGGCAAAGTTTTCTCGTGATTTTTCTCATGCCCCTTTTGACTGTGAATTGAAAGTTTGCCTTATTCCATTAAAAAAAGTAAAAGAAAAAAATGTATACCCCCATTCTTCTGTAAAAGAATATTTCATATAATCCAGAACAAAATTGTTTCGATTGACACTTTGATCCCATGAAATGAACTGGTTAGAGGCTACCTATTGATACATTTCAGTCTTGTCACTTTCAATGTTTTGTGCTTTAAGTTTTCAGCCTTAAAAATTTAAATTTTGTGCTAAATCTTTGTGCTTGATTTTACCAACGGACTAAATATAAGTACGGAAGTTAATTATTTTCTTTTTTTATTCCTTCATTTTCTTCTTAAAATTAGGAAATAGTTGCCACACAATAATACAGACAACAATAAGTGGTGGTTGTTCCATGTGAAATCATCAAAATAAAATAAAACTTAAGGATAAAATAAATAATAACTAAACAGATATAAAATTTAAAAAGTCATGAACAAGTGGTAGACTTAGTAGTAGAGCAAAAAACAATCAATATTATGACTGTTATCATGACAGAGTAATAGCCTTAACTTTCTGAAGAATGTCCGCCCCAATGATTACACGAAATGAGATACGTAGGAAGGTAGATGCCGCAGTGCATAAAAAAAAATTTAGTTTTACAAGAGGAAAGAATTTAAAAAAACAGTACATGTAAATTTTGAGAGAGAGAAAGAAAATCCAAACTCAATATTAAAACGGTATGGCAACACTATTAATGAATGTGGCAGCATAGATAAAACTGGCGGAATTTCTAAATGTTGTGAAGACGCCAATATTAAAATGCAAAATATGTAAAAGGCAATATTGTGCATTTTCAGCAGTGTCATAAACTTAATGAGATGAGAACTTCTATTCGTAATTGATAAAAATATTTTAAGGCTCTGTCTTATGAGGAAAACCAAAGTTAGAAATTTGAAAATTGGACTACCTGATTCCAAATAAGAATTTTTTCCATTTTATGTTAGGCTTTGAAATAATTTTTCTTGGTTCCCTGGTACATTCAAACAGTCTCAACAAGATATCAACACCTCCTAAAAAACAAATTATTTTAACAGAATAAAACATGATATGCAAAAACTGTACAATTATAATACATTGGAAAACAACACAGTTTAAACTGCAATCTCTTTGATAAAATCTTTAAATGGAAGATTCATATGATAAAAAGATTATGCACAAATTCATAACTCACGGGAATGTACTTAATACTAGCTATTCAACCTAAAATTGCACGTTGAATTGCACACTCGGCACTTGTGACTTCGGAAGTTCATCAGACTAGGATTGTTCTTTTTTCTGAGCTCGGTAAAACTCAGCTAATACTTGCCATGCTTTTGGTGCCATGAAACCATTTGGAGGCTCTGTGCCAGATCTGGCAAAACCTGAAAAACATGACGAAAAATTTTTATGTATGGTTTGAGATTAAGCCCTGATAAGGAAGAGAGAATTAAAATAACTTCGCAGTTTTTAATTTATTTTTTTTACTTGTTTAATTTTGAGTATGGCTCATAAAAAAGGTTAAATTAAAGGAGAACACAATTGCGTAGAAAACACAGCTGGAAAAACGCCTTAACTGCAGTATTTCCAAAATTCCATATGTTTCCTTTTTCCTTTTCTTTAGGAGAATATCACCAAAGTTTGCAACAAAAAATTGTCAGGGAATATTCTTAAAAAGGCAAGGAAAAATCACCCAAGATTCCATGCAATCATGAAGGTCAGTCATTTTTGAAAAATTAAAATCTGACTTAGAATCTTCAACATTGCAAATTGAAATATGTGTTCGCCTAAGCTCACAGTTCGGAAAAACATGTAATAGTAATATTAATCCGTTGACTGCCAAATTTGTAACAGTCTTGCATTCATAATATTATCTTAAGTATTTTTTCACTTTTTAATCTTTTCCCGTTTCTTACCTCTTAAATTCAATCAATGTATAAACCGTCAAAACTTTATTTGAAAAACAAAATGGGCAAAATATTTAGTTTGGAAGATTATCATTTTTTTTTTTTTAGAGACTTTAAAGAGTTGATTAAAGTTTGGTAATTTGTCAGATGCTATGTACCCTGATACATGCTATGACAACTCAAATATTAGAGTGAATATCTTAGAGCATAAGAGAGGATTAAAAGTTTCCAAAATCCCTGCCAGTTAATGGAAGGGTCAAATTACCTCTCATTTTTGTGCCGGATATGAAATCAAAGTCTTCTTTCCTGGACGGATCAAAGAAGTCCATTTTGTTAGCTTTTTTGTCATAAGCTGCAACCCTAAATGGTAGGATCTCTAAATCCGAAAGGCCTGGTGCCATCTCCAGAACTCTTGCACCATGAGTGGGATCAAAAAGATTTTTGGACGGATTCTCTGGGTGCGTGACTCCTGCAGGGTCACGACCCACAATGTAAAAGTTAGCTCCTGCAGCCATCCTTGCTTTGGCATGCCATTGAACCTAAAACAGCATTTTATTAGTCATGAAAGGGAAAACATAAAAACAATACACATTCAAACTTCTACACCTGCCGCTGTTTCAAATGCAGATGCAAAGTAGTGATTGCCAGATATAATAAATCAGCGTCATACATTTGTACCTCACTTTTCTTTTAACAAGAGGAATACACTGTGTAAAATTATGATCTGAAATAAGGAATGATGATTTTAAACGCAATTTTTGAGATATTTTTTTCCCTTTAATTTCAGCATAATTAAATTACTTCAAAATTAGTTTTACTCCGATTACACATATAATTTGGTAGGATTAAGCAGAAAGTACAACAGTCCAGGTCTTAAACCTACTCATACATATTTCAGTTTGCCAGAGGCCCTCCAGACGTTACATTTGTCATCAATCAAAAGTCTGTTTATGTGGGTTACATATTTTTAACATTTCCCTGGGGGGAAACCTGAAGACTAAGTAAACAGGTGCCTGTTAACACAGTAAATCTGAAAGTGGTTGTTATGGACTACACAAAATCGTACACTTCTAAGTATATTTTAAAAATATTTGATGTGCTCAGTATGATTTTTTCAAAAGAGAATCTGCTGAGTTGACTGTGTTTCTTGTGTGTAACAGATCCATGATTAAATTTGGGGTTCAATAGGGTACTCAAATGTGGGCTTGCAGGTTCATATTACCTCTGCTTTTTGTGATGAGAGATGATTGAGTGCTTGTGTTGAGAGAGTGAGGATATTGAGAAGAACATTCTCAAGGCAACCTGTCAGATATTGAACATTTTGAACTTTTAGTGGGACATGTCAATCTGCCACTAATATTCCGTGAATTTTCAAAGCCTTTGTCAAAATATTAATGTACAGCCAATTTTGATAGAATTCAAGTCGAGAAAAATGATGCAAAAACCGTGCCATTAGACTTACCTCCGTGGGTCCAGCATACAACATCGGTGAAGGGAAGATGGCTAGAAGAGTAGAGTCTGGTTCCAGGACTCCTTCATTTAAAACAGCTTTATGTTGCTCAATGCGCACAGGGAGTGGAACATCATCATCTTTGGTCCAGCCTCCAAGAGGATGCAAGAGCAGAACAGGCTTCTTGAATCCACGCTCCAGGAGACGACGCTTTGTGTCCTTAAAATTTGAAACAAATGTTATTTAAATATGAATAATGACAAAACACTTTCTTGGTGATTGATATGTGGTATTAGAGTAATTTATAATGATTGTCTTGTGAAGCTTAGAAGACATCATCAAATTGATTCAGAATTTTTTGAATTGTTACCTCACTTACAGAAAATTTTTAAGTGAGGTGAATTTACTTTAAAAAAGAAAAGATCTCAAAATTTTGAAATTAAGGCATTTTTCGGTAAAAGGATGTATGAGATTTAAGATGCTGCTAAGATTGTGTAACATAGTTCTCTAGTTGTAAGTAACCTAATCGGACAGTTCTTCCATGAATGTTTCCCTGAATCTGCTCCAAATTTCTCCTAACTATTGTAAGGAAGTAAGTTGGCTGTAAATGAATTTCATCTGCCGCAAATACTATAAAAAATTGTGCAATTTTATCAGCATTGCAAGCCCCACTTGCCCTATTACCAAAAAAGTAATTAATCATTAAAAAGTAATGCTTTTGGTACAAATACTCTGATCTAAAACCTTGTCTTAGATATCAGTGGCTACAGTTGAAAAATGCAACACTTCAAATGCCAAATTATGTTTCAATTTTTAACTCAAAAACTTGCTGAAGTATCTTTTAGAAATTTTCTACAAATATTCTTGGATGAATGAGGAACATTCAGAAAAAATTCAAGAAAAATCTATTAGTTAGCTTTCTATAAAAAAATATTAAACAAAAGGCGGAAATTCGCGATGTTGCAAACAAAGTTATACATTTTTCGACTTAAGCAAATATTGTGAACTCGAAAACATTATTGCTGTCTCTCGAAAAGCTGTATCACCTGCATAAGAAGAGCATGCCCATTATGAATGGGGTTCCTGAGTTGAAAAGCAAACACCGCATCTGCTTTCATTGACTTCCACCTGGCTCGGAGTTCGTTTGGAGTTAGTCGATACTCATCAAGACCATCATTCCATTGTATCCGTTCCAAAACCTCTAGTTCTCCTCCTACTAACCAATCTCCACTCTCATAAATCATCTGAAAAGAAAAATCAAATGGAAGATTAGGGTCAAACAGCAGAAAATGGCTCACACTCATAAAAAGGTAAAAGAGCCAACAGCTTTTCATGAACATCCAATCAGATCATTCACTTATTATTTAAGTGATTGCGTTTTTCCATGCAATTTTAGCTTCCGTAGATCTTACTGGCAACATATCACAGATATTGGTGCTGCGAGACATGTTGGCAATTTCAAGAAATTTAAAATTGAAAAATTGCACTAAAGCTCATGAAGCCCCAGCTGTCACACTTCCATTCCCGACTGCACATTCGTTAACATCAATGAATGAATAATTGAACTGCTAGTGTGACAAAAGCTCGATACAAATTTACTTTGAAATCGAATGTTGAGGCCAAAAATCACTTAAATCTTTTTTTTCTAAGCATGCCGTCCTGAGAAGATTCTTGCTTGAGATGACTCATATCTCAATTTTAAAGAATTTTTCATAGTTTCCTCTCCTAATTGTGATTCATATTTAACCATAATTTTTTCGATTCATTTATTTATATAAATGGACCGCTATATTGGGTCAACAATCAAACAATGTAGGTGATAAATATTTCTAAAAAAAATTACACATACAACAAGGTAGAAACATTAGAAATTTCCAGTTTCAACTTAAAGGTGAAGAACCAACATTTTCCGATCAGTTGATTCAAACTTCCCACCATTCATACTCTTTATAACTCACTCCACAAATTAAACCTTACGTCACCTTGTAATTTAAATGTCCACTGAAAAAAAACTGATCAGTGCTTTCAGTTTCTTACACAAAAGTTGATGAAAAAACTTACAAAAGTTCTACTCTGTTTGCCGCACTGCAGTATGATGTACTTACTTTGATGTGTGGGTGGTCTTTGTGGGTCGTGCCAAACTGACGAGCCACCCTCTCTTCTTTAGGATGGGGATAAAAACTGGGAGTTCGAAGGATGGCATGCGGTTTTTGGTTGTGCCACAGGGTAAAGGCACTGCATCCAAAAAGCCGGTCCTTGTCTTCTGTGGTAACTGGTAAGACAATTGCTATGGACAAATTTACATCGTCTGCTAAGCTATTGAAGTGAAGGGCCTGAATAACCAATAAAATACAAAAGTTAATAGGGGTACCATATCTTAATTTCAAAACCTGGAGAAAATTGTGACAAAAGCATAAGAAAAGTCAGAAAATATTTAATGCAAATTAAAAAATCTTAGGAATGAAAAAGCACACTAAAGTGTTATGTAAGTGCCAGCAATTCGATGAAATTTTAAATTCATGAAACTTTCCAAGAATCCTTCAGCATGATTTGGATAATAAAACTGTAATAACTTTTTTAGAAAACTAGAATATGATAATGATAGAAACATTTTTTTTTTGTCTGGAGAAAAATGGCATTAATAATCTAGAGAATTAGTCTAAATCTAAATAATCTGTAATCTGTTTTACAATAGATAGCTCAGCTTACCTGTAAGAATTGATCCTCTGTCATGAAACCTTTTAAAGGTGTTGCCCAACCCTCTGCTAAAATTTGCACCCATTGGAGATCAACAGCTGAAATTTCTAATCGAGGCAGTTCCATTGCTTCAGCCTTGGCTACGGAGATTCTATTTTCAGGCACAAACAGTTCTGGAATCATACCGCATGCTTCGTTCCTTTTAGGAATGATTTCCTGTAAAATAAACATTTAAATTAAGGAAAAAAATTATATTTAAAACCTATTCCTTAAAATTACATGGTAGGTGCTTATGAAACAATAAACCTGTACAAATACACTGATTAGAAAATACCGTACGATTAATACCTACTATTTATAGCTGAGAAATGAGGTTTTTTGAGGAAAAAACAAAACACGAGGAATAAAGTTTAAACAATACAATGGTAAAGTGTTTTCTCCAACTCAGTCATCCATTAGGTAGACCCGAACAGAAGCATGTTATGAATCTTCGGAAGAAATGCTTCATTGTGAGCTCTCTTCAATTAAAATTCGGCTTGAACAATTGTCAAGATTCTCAATTCTTAGAAATTTTCTAGGCCCTGGGAATTGACTTTACTTTTCTCCTCTCTGTACGAAGAAGCACCTAGGCTTGCCTGGTATTCTCAGTTCGGCTGGCTGAATTATAATAAACTTCCAACGTCTTAAATGCAACAATAGAAACTTTGAGACATCACTTTTATAAAATGTGAATTAGAATAATGAATAATAAAATTTTAGAATAATAGTTTTAAATCCTTTGTAGAGAATTATTTTGAATAATACGTACATGTTCCTCTAACAGAGCAACGACTTGCATGAAGCTTTCTTCTACACTGCAGTCGACGGTTTTGACGACAAGTTCAGGCGACTCTGGTTTCTGGTATTCCTGATCGACTCCGGTAAAACCTGAAATTTAATTTACACTATTAATACTTACAAAATTAAAAATGGGACGAGTAGAAATACTTTTAATGTTCTATCAACTTCTTTTTTGAATTTTTCAGGTCAAAGGGAATTCTTTTTTTAATTTCCTAATTTCCTAAACGGCTTAAATCCCCTCTCATTTCCTTCCTTTTAAGTGTATTTTGGGAGATGCCCCAAACATGTAGTCAGAGTTTTGTTTCGAGGGGAGGGAGGAGTTGGCTGGCAGAGTTGGAGACTTTCCTTTTTACTTTTCTAGGAGCTGGAGCTCCCCAAGTCCCCTTGCATTGCCGCCAAAAACAACTTCCGATTGTTATCAAACAGTTAGGTTACTTTTCGACGCTGCGTTAAAGTCTCCGAGGACAACAGCATGATTTTAGAAGCACCATATCCCTCATCCCTCATATGTATAGTTCTGGAAAAAAAAAAAACCATGCGATATTGACGAAAATGTTAATAGTGTGATCGGGATTTTTTAATGTTCAGGGCCAGGAAGACTAAATCTTTCTAGTTTAAGGTCGATCGCAAGGTGCAAAACCTGACCTCTAAATTCGACGATAAATCGTGAAAATTATATCGATGGCGAGACCTCACATCTCCGTTTGGGGACACCGATTCGATCGATAATTTTAAAAAAAAACCCAGTGTCAGATTCGATCGATATAAATCGATCGAAAAATAAAATTGTGAACCAATCGACGTGATTCCATCGACACCGATCCGATTGACAAAATTGGATCGACTAACATATTTGTCGATGGATTCACGGGTTTGTCGATCGGCTCACGGGTTTCCTCAATGGATTCACGGGTTTATCGATTGCATCACTGTCGATGGAATCAGGTGGATTGGTTCACGTTTTTGTTTTTCGATGGATTCACGTGGATCGAGTCCATAGCCTCCTCTGGAGACACTGTGGAAAATATCGAGGTGTAAGTGGGCAATCACATATAACTCGGTTTGCGACGTCGCAGACTTCCTGTCTTACTTTATTTTTTCCACGGAAAACTACTCAACGTCAATTCTTTAAAACTGCCGTGATTTTTCTTCTCTGTGCGAAGAAAATTCTTCAAAGAATGATGTCAATTTGTTCTCTTTTAAAACAATCCCTGGTAAAAATTGGCAGGAGAATCTGTGTCCCAAAATACCATAGACCTACAGCCGGCTGTAAGATTTCCAATAGCTTCTATAGCCGGCCACACAATTTCTTATAGCCGATGGCGATTAAGCAACAGCCAGGCGATAAAGTGTATGCTAAACGTTACTAATTACGGATGCTAGAACTTGGTGAGTTTTTGAAAATACTGCTCTCTTTTTGGGCCGTAGTATCTTGATTTATTTTGCGAGGAAAGCTCCGTACTTTTGATGGATGCCTGCCATTACTAATATATTAGAGTGCCTTCAGTTTCGTATGATACTGTGCAATACCTCTGGTGTGAAATAGTTGCTTCAAGCGCCGTGGCAGGCGGACAGCCAGCGTGAAACACGCATTGGCGCCTACAAACCTGACAGGGATACTTCACGCGTTGCGCAATGCGTGAAGTATCCCTGTTAGGTTTGTAGGCGCCAGTGCGTCGCCGCTCCGCTTTGTGTTAGGCTCTAATATTTAGTCTGGCGGAGTCACCGTTATTCCACTCATGATTTTGAAATGTTTGCACATCCTGTATGGATTATTCTCATTTTAATTGATGAAAAAAAAAATATGTATTAAAGGAAAATATAATAGTGTTTTGTAAATATTAAGGTGGTTCCGTATCAAACTTAATGCTTTCCAAAGCACACGAATTTCTACACAATTTCTTATAGCCTTTTATAATCGATGGCGAAAAAGCAACAGCCAGGCGATAAAGTGTAAAGCCCGGCGATAGGAACTATATCCCGGCTGCATACTTTTTTATCGCTTCGTATAGCCCGGCCGTATGATTTTCTCCGCATTCTACAACCAGCTGTATGATTTTCTGTAGCCTTCTTTAGCCGGCTATAAGAATTCCTATGGCATTTTGAAACGCAGCTCTTATCGCCAATTTTTACATGGGATAACATAGAGGCGGAGATTTTCCGACACCGCAAACGAGATATGTGATTGAGGACTTACGCCGTCGAAATCTGGAAAGTGTGCTTACCCTTGATGGTGCCCTGGCGGGCTTTCTTGTAGAGCCCCTTTTCCCTGACTTTTTAAAGTTCCCTGACATTTCCTGGTTTTCCCTGACTGTGCGGCAACCCTGTCGAATCCATGGCCTCCCCTGAAGATGCTAAGGAAAATCTGGAAAGTGTTCTTACCCTTGATGGTGCCCTGGCGGGCTTTCTTGTAGAGGCCCTTGACGTCCCTCTGCTCGCAGACGGTGAGGGGGGTGTCGACGAAGACCTCAAAGAAGGGGAGGTCAGCCTGCTGGTGGATCTGGCGGGCCATCTCCCGGTCGGCGGCGAACGGGGAGACGAAGCTGCAGAGGGTGATGACGCCGGAGTCGGCGAAGAGCTTGGCCACCTCGGCGACTCGACGGATGTTCTCCTCGCGGTCCTCCGGGGAGAAGCCCAGGTTCTTGTTCAGCCCGGTCCGGATGTTGTCTCCGTCGAGTCCGTAGGCCGGGATCCCGCGCGAGACCAGGTACGCCTCCAGCTCGAACGAGACCGACGTCTTGCCCGCCCCGGATAGACCTGCAACACAAAATCACACATTTCCGTTAATTACTTCACTTAGAAGTATTTTATAGAAAAACGTTCGAGTATACCTGAAGGCATGGCGTCCAGTTTTTTTTAAAACCGGGATTTATCAGGGAATGAAAATTTACCAGGAAAATCAGGGGAAAATCAGGGAAACTGTTCCGGAAACCGGGAACCTCTTCTCCAACCACCCAGGCATCATTTCGTTTTCAAAGGCGGTCTAATCTGACCGAGCGCTATTTGGCTACGTCCATCGGCCTTCGGCAAGTATCGCGCAATGTTATTGCACCTGAGCAGTGGCGTAACGGACTTCCGCTGGGCCCCCCTGCAAAATTGTTTCTAGCCCCCCCCCCCCCATGTCGATAAAATTCCAAAATCATCCCCCCTCCCGCCCCTCTACTTCCCTCACCCCTTCCCGTTTCTTGGCCCGAGAAATTTCAAATCACGGACTTGGACTTGGAATGCCTCTCCCCTCACTGTCCCGGATCCCGTACCCGATTAAATGGGGCCCCTAGAGGATCAAGGATCTAAAGGGTGGCGGGGGCCTAGCCCAGGCCCAAGCATCGAAGGGCCTCCAAGGGCCTTGTGGGCCCTTTAGATTCATGGATATCCCAAAGCCCGAAATACCTACGAAAAGTGACAAAAAAGAGAAAAATTTAGTAATCACTGAGTGGACATTGGAAGGCAGGGGCCCTTCAGCAAAAAAAAAGTTAGGAACAGTCCAAAAGAAGTATGAAAAATCCTGAGCTAACAATAAAAATCAGCGGAAGAAACCCCATGTTGGTAAGTAAAGGCCCAAAGTTTGAAACCAAAGCTAAGCATCAAAGAGACAGAAAAACAAAATTTCGGCGGCCGGGAGCCCGGAGTGCCCCCTAGGCGCTTGGGCCCCCCTGCATAGCAGGGTCTGCGGGGCGCCCGTTACGCCACTGCACCTGAGCCGCTTTTTTCTAAACTTTTTTAGTGCCGCATTTCAAAGCTTCAAATCATCAAAATAATGTAGAAGCTTCTGCTAACCAGATAATATCAACATCAGGAACATTTTTTGAATTAAAATTTTGAATGTGCGCCAAAGACATGGCTGTAAGATTAATTAAAATCTATATTCATACCTGAAACTCTGGAAAATTATATTCTTTTCTCCAAGCAGGTCCCGGGAAAGTGGGAAAGAACTTCGGTTTCTCATCAGGGAATGAGTTCTCGAAAATCAGGGAAAATCAGGGAAAAATCAGGGAATGAGCTTTGACAAAAAAAACTAGACACCATGCAAGAAGCAGAGGCTTGTCATACCGCTCTATAATTGGTTCATCGGTTTTAGGCTTTTAAAGGACCTTAAAAATCCAATCGGTTACTCTCAAAAAGACATAAGCGCCAAAAATGAGAGTACGAGTACGAGTAAAGTACTGTGAGAGAAAAAACGCTGCACCAATGAGAGCACAGATTTTCACACAACTTTTTTAACATAGCAACATCTCATTATAGATTACATGTATTGTACCATGTATTGTAGCAAAATTCCCGATATGTTGTGCGACGCGTCGCTCATCGCCAAGACGAAAATAACAAAGAAACTGGAACGCCTTCATCGTTTTGCTTATGCAAAAAAGGCGACCAAAAAGCACAAAAAGTTTCTTCCAAGCGGCACTGAAGGAGTCGCGTCCTCCTCGAGTAGCATTTGAAAGCTGAAAATAAAAGTTGATGCCCATCTTTTTATGTCCGTGCATTTTAAACCGGGAACAATGATCTTTTCTTCTTTTTTCTTTTTTATTCAAATGGCCCAAGCATGGTAATTGAAGGATCATTTTCAATTGTAGGAGGAGAAAATACGAGATTCACGGCAGACAGAATGCCACATCCGCACGTATTTCTTAAAAAACTTTTGTAGGTGTTGAAAGTAAAAAGTGAATTTTATTTTCCCAGAAGCATACCAACGGACATATTTTTGCAAAATTTTCAGGAAAATGTTTGAAAGAATAAAGAAAAATCCCACTTAATTGAGTGAAAAAAAGAAAAAAGGAGAAAAAAATTAGGCCTTCAGTAGAGTAAAATAAGTCAGGAGATTTGCGGCGTTGTGAACCGAAATTGCAGTTGGGCGGTTTCATTATCGATGTATAAGATTGTAGGTGAATATTCAGTTTGTCTAGACGAGGAGAATTAATTGCCGAATTTCGAGAGCAGTAAGTCATGGTGCAAAAAGATATTTTAACGGAAAGACCGATAAAAACACGGAAAAAAGGATGAGAAATATAGCAGATCATCCAAAGTTAATATGCATGCATAATTGCATAGTAACCAGTGAGCAAACGTGCCCAAAGCACGGACAAGAGGCTAATTTCATGGGTTAGGATACCTAATTCAATGAGGTGCGACTCCACATCAAGGGATAGTTCATCGTTACAGTTAGGATGCAAAATAACTGCGTTTCTGTAACTAAATCCATTTCTTGATGCATATCCAACTGGATTGGGTCCTAACCGAACACTGGCTGACGTTTTCTCGCTGCAGTGTAACACATTTCCATCTCTAGATTCGACTGCGAGGGGGAAAATGTAACTCGTCGGATTGCGTCTCCGCAAGTGTGAACAGGGACTCTTTTTAAAACGCACTTCAATTTTTCCCAGTCATAATTGATTGCATAAGAAGGTGACTAGAATTCTTGCCAAAGCACGTGCCAGGGTCACAATGCATGTACCCACACATCTTGTGCCGTAGAGGGTACGCTGCAAGTTTTTCCAACCGGAGAAAAATTATCTCAGCACAAGCGATATTCTTCAAGTTCTGCGTTATATGTTACTGAAAAATTACTGAATTTACTATGGAAAAACCGCTACAATCTCAAGCTGAGAACTTTCCTCGAAAAATGTCATCCTCCTCATCTCCTCTTCATGCAAGGTGATAAGTTTTTTTGAATTCCGAAATCTCGTGATTTCTTAGGGATTTAGAACTTACAATTTCTTAGGGATTTAGAACTTACAAGACTGTTATTAGACAAGTTTTGAATTGGATATTCCCTAGGAAGAGGCGAAAAAGACGTCCCTTGCAAAGGGCTGCAAGGCGTCGACGAAGAGATTGTAAGATGTCAGTAGTTGCCCTATAACCTTGGAAACAGGCTGCAGTTGTAGTTTTTAGAGTCTCCTTAAGCATACAGAGAGTAAAGACAATGCAAATCCATCTCTGATAGGTTCCCGTAGTTCAGGCCTTCACAGTGTCACAAACGGGAATAAAGATGAAATTCGGGAATGGGTTGATCAAAGATTACAGCAAATGTCCGATTTGTGTAATCTTCATTCGCGCTTGTGACATCCACAAGCCGCGTTGTCTAAACTCTCTCTACAAAGGGACTCTAGTGGCGTTTGGGTGTCGCAGAGCCTTAGAGTGCGCTGTAAAGCAACATCGATGTAAACGAGAAATTAAACTCCTTTACTTTCAATGTTTTTTTTTTTTTTTTGGGGGGGGGGGGGGGGGGGAGGGGCATAATTTTCCATGAAAAAATGATTGCAAAAAAATAAAAACTGGCAGTCTCTTGAAATCGAAAAAATTCAATTTTCTGGCTAGAAGCAAAAATTGAATGGTTCCTTAACAAAATCTCTCGACTTTTCAGGTTCGGAATTGTATTCCCTGATGAATATTCAAAGAACTTATCGCGTCAGTCATGAGAATTTCAAAACCTGTGAAAAATCCCCAAAAATCCATACGTAATGCACCACTTAAATCCTTTGAGCCATCTTTTGTCACTGCATAACGCTGTCTAGAACCTCTATTCGACCCCGTGGAGCGTAGCATTATGACTCCCTCTCAAGGCTTGAAGGCCGCAAAAAATGTATCTTCATTGGATAAAATCAAACATGAGTGGACGATTTGCAACTCTGCATTTAATGCTTTTTCTTATTACACCACTGATCTGCCCACAAAAGTTTATTGTTTTCCCCCGTGGGCCTCCCGCAGGTGATCTTCGAAACCTCATCAACATCTCAAATAAAGACGTCAAGCAGGGCTCTTCTGTCGCAGAGCTCTTCAAAACATTACCCACCAACCGCATCGAATGACGATTTTGTGCCGCTCGTGGCTTAATTGACAGTGGCGTGGCGTGCTTTGCGATATATCGATTGATCTGTCATTTAAACCTATGGAAAAGGATCGATAAGTAGGGTGTTCGAAACCAACACCTGAATAATCGATTCTTTACCATAGCTTCAAATGGTAGAATATCGTTAATCATTCACGCCTCGCCACTGCAGTGATTGAGTGATTGACTATTCGTCTTGCGAGCCACAGCATCACAGGCACTCATTGTCACCTCTCGAGAGGCTAGGCAGGGAGCATCTTGTTACGTGAGTGCGAATTTCCTTATCAATGGAGATGTTGCAAGTATGAAGAATTTGCGATTTGACTGTTGAGTCTGATGTAAAAGTTCGGGAGAAACACGATGGTACCACTGGTTTTCTCTAAAATCAACTCCCAAGCTCAAAAAAAGCTCTCAAGTTGAGGCCAAAATGGAGGGGATATCCCACGCAATCCTGAGAATTCTACATCAAGACCAACTCTCCATGTAAAGATAGGGAGCAAATACATTAGCAAAGATGCCGTGTTTTCAGTTTTGGAGTCCCCGAATAAAGTGGCAGCCCTGTCAATGTATTTGCTCCCTATCTTTACATGGAGATTTCGTTTTGATGTAGCGGTGGACTCTCAGGATAGCGTGGGATATCCCCTCCATTTTGGCCTCAACTTCAGAGCTTTTTTTGAGCTTGGGAATTGATTTCAGAAAAAACCGGTAGCACCATCGTGTATATCGCGAACTTTTACATAAGAATCAACAGTCAAATCGCAAATTCCTCACACATGCAACATCTCCATTCACCTGTCCTAAGAACAACGAATGAGCGTTCAAAAGAGGCCAAATTGCTTCAGGGATAATGCTTTTTGGGAGAGAAGCTAAGGGTTTCTCTTCTTGAAATTTTCGGATAAGTGAGACGAAGCTGCGAGGAAAATTCTCTGAA